ATAGTATCAGTTTGAACTTTACAATAGTGTTACTAGGATAGTATCAGTTTGAACTTTACAACAGTGTTACTAAGGTAGTATCAGTTCGAACTTTACAACAGTGTTACTAAGGTAGTGTCAGTTTGAACTTTACAATAGTGTTACTAAGGTAGTATCAGTTTGAACTTTACAACAGTGTTACTAAGGTAGTATCAGTTCGAACTTTACAACAGTGTTACTAAGGTAGTATCAGTTTGAACTTTACAATAGTGTTACTAAAGTACTAAACTCAAATAATAATATGTGGATAATCTACCTTATGATAAATATCCTGGATAAATACGAGTTAATACCATTTATATCTTGTAAAGTCTGTTATCTGTTTTTGTCAAGGCTGTTATATGTTTTTGTCAAGCCTGTTATCTATTTTGTCAAGCCTGTTATCAGCTTTTGTCAAGCCTGTTATCTGCTTTTGTCAAGCCTGTTATCGGTTTTTGTCAAACCTGTTATCGGTTTTTGTCAAACCTGTTATCTGTTTTTGTCAAGCCTGTTATCTATTTTGGTCGAGTTTGACAAAAACAGATAACAGGCTTGACAAAAACAGATAACAGGCTTGACAAAAACAGATAACAGGTTTGACAAAACCGATAACAGGTTTGACAAAACCGATAACAGGCTTGACCAAAATAGATAACAGATTTGACAAAAACAGATAACAGGCTTGACAAAAACCGATAACAGGCTTGACAAAAACCGATAACAGGCTTGACAAAAACGATAACAGGCTTGACAAAAACCGATAACAGGCAAACTATTGATGGTCATTGTTACTTATTTAATTTAGTTCATGTTGTTAAACATTTACAAACTATTGATGTTCATTGTTACTTGTTTATTTTAGTTCATGTTGTTAAACATTTACGAACAATTGATGTTCATTTTTTCTTCTTTATTTTAGTTCAAGTTGTTAAACATTGAGAATAGGATTTATTGATTTTTATTGTGTTTTTTTTTCAGTTTTACCTTTTCTTTTGATTTGCTTGCTTCATTGTATTCATTTTATCTTAGGTAACAATCGTTTTAGTACAAAGTCAACAAGACGAGACTGTCTTATAACGTTGATTGTTATAAGTAAAAGTTTAACCTTAAAAAACAGATAACAGGCTTGACAAAAACCGATAACAGGCTTGACAAAAACCGATAACAGGCTTGACAAAAATAGATAATAGATTAAATGTTTAACAACATGAACTAAAATAAACAAGTAACAATGACCATCAATGGTTTGTAAATGTTTAACAACATGAACTAAAATAAACAAGTAACAATGACCATCAATTGTTCGTAAATGTTTAACAACATGAACTAAAATAAACAAGTAACAATGACCATCAATGGTTCGTAAATGTTTAACAACATG